CTCATCAACTCATTTAAAATTTTATACCTCAGTTTTATATTATGACACTGCATAATATAAGAATAATCCTCAGGAGAAAACAGAGGTGCATCAGATCTTAAATATCTAGTCATAGTTCTACTATATATATGATAATTGGTAGTTTGTAATTTATAGGTATTATTAATATTAGTTATCCGCTATTTAATTTATTTTTAGCTATTTCAATAAAGAATTTCGCTCATAATTTTTTTTATATACTAATGACTAAGCCAAAAAAAAACTATGTCTAATATGCATACCTTAAGAGATATCGAGAATAGAAGGGTCCTGGAGAGGCCAGGTCATCGGCTTGGTAGCATCCGTAAATCAGAGCTTGAGAAAGCATTGCATGATAGTATCAAAACTGTTTCTGATATTGCTAATGAATATAAAGACCTGCAGGATGTATATTTAAAGCAAAAAAAGGATCTTAAGCTAGTTCAAGCTGATGCTAGAAAAAGGATTAGCCAGCTGAATGTGTCCAATACTAGGCTTAGATTTTCTGAACGGTCATCTCATACTGAGCGTGAAGCAGAGCGAGCCAATTATTTTGCTGAAATCCAATCGCTCAAATCTGAGATTAAAACACTAAAGAGAAAAGCGATCCTCGTCCAAAAAGCTTCATCCCTTGACAAGGGCGAGATTCTTTATCTTAAAGGTGAAATAGATGAACTAAAAGCCGAAGTAGATGAATTGAAATCTGAGATGGAACTAGAATGCACATCTCATGATTCAGATACCACTTCTTTTAGGGATAAAATAAGTGAATTAAACTCCTTTAATCATATATTGGAGCAAGAAAGGGATGATTTAAATTCAAAGAAACATGAATTAGAAGCTGAGGTGGGGTGTAAGGATTCTGAAATCACCTCTCTTGGAACTAAAGTAAATGAACTAGAGAAAGTAGCAGGAAAAGTATTATGTAGTTATGGGTTAATTAGCTATCTCAGATCTAGGGTGAGGGAATTGGAAGATCAGTTAGAACAACAAATATCCCAGTCATCTTACAAATCGAATATAATAGGTGGAGCTAAAGAGGATCCAGACTCGGCTGAGTTCCTCCTTCAAGAGACTAATACCCATTTAGCAGAGCAGGTTTCGAAAGCATCCAGTAAGACTAATAAAGTGATTGGAGGCGCTTCCTCTTTTTCTTCACACCACTCAGAGCTTGAACCCGATGAAAGCAAAGTAAAAGATGTGGTGGAGCTCCCATAGACCATGCCTGCAATAAGCAGAAAGAGAAACTCGATAATATTCAAGCCTTACCTATTGTTATATTAGGGGTCGGCAATGCTTTACTTAATGATCAGTATATAATTCTGCTTGTTATTTTAGCCTTAGTAGTAATATTAATTATATGGTATATATATAGGTGAATTTGTCACTCAATCAAAAAGAAAGAAATTTTTTATCCAATTTATAGAAAACAAAGTTATAGTTTCCTAAACTGTCATGCAAAAAAACCAAAAGACAACTGGACTGCCCTCTATGAAACTTTACCTTATGAATATGGATGAGGCCACAAAGCACGAATCATCACGAGTGAAAGGGCATAAAGCATCGCCTAACTGGCCTTTTACTATGTTAGTTAGTGGAAGAAGTGAAACAGGTAAGACTAATTTACTTGCAAATCTTGTTCTCGGTGATAAAAGTGAGCATATATATAAAAGACTAAAAGGTGGATCCCAATATATAAGATGCGATGATTTGATAGTTTGCAGTTATCATCTGGATGAGCCTAAGTGGGCATTTGTCAAATATATATATGAAATAATTGCAAAGGATCCTAGTGCCCCATATCATGAGAATATACGATTCAGCTATATCTCTCCCAAAAGAATACCAAATGTGAAATCATTTTCACCAGAAAGAAGCACTGTCATCATTTTTGAAGACTTATGTGTTGCCCTGGAGCATATACAAAATCAAATCATCCCTTTCTTTATTTATAGGCATCATAGAAATATTTCAAGTATATATATTACACAGAAGTATTATAAAGTCCCCATTATTATTTATGAAAATATATCCCATCTAGTGATATTTAATGCTGGAGGCAGTTTTCAAGATGTGTCCAAGATAGCCAGTCGATATACTGATGATGTTAAGAATGCATCGATGGTTATAAATAGTTATCTCCGAAAAGGTGAATTTATTATATTTGATCTAGATAGACCTGAGGATGATTCTCTTGTAATTTGGCTAAGGTTTGACACTCCATTAAACCTACAGAAGGAAATAGAGATAAGGCAGAAGCACAAGGAAAAAAGCAATCTAGCTAATTCATAATTTCAATGACAACTCTACTGTTTTCCTAATGCTATTCTTGAGATCACAATTGAGTAATATAATTTATACATTAATATTTACTTGCAATATATGTAAGAAGGAAATAAAAATCTATGAAGTATATATTTACATTTTTTTTCATTTTTGGCTACAAATTTGAATCGCGATATTCCTTAATATAGGTTGATAAAAAATCGCTAAAAACGCTATAAATTGCTAAAAAACGCTATAAATCACTAGAGTTGGCTATAAACTATAAAGAGTAAAAAATGGTTAAAACCAACCTTAACTACTATTCTAGTTTAAATCCTGAAGTAGTGCAGACATTAAACAATCTGCAATATAGTTATAGCGATGAAACACCAGAAATGTGGTGTTCTCGTATTCGTTGTCCATTTAAAAAACTTCTCGAATATAACTTAAAATACTTCTCTAAGAATGGATTTATCCAAATGATCGAAAGAGTATATATAGATGGGAAATTTAATGCCGGGAGACACTCATTCTACATTTATTGCACTGTATGTGACTCCTTAGTTATTATTCATGAAAATACAATCGAATATGCAAATGATTACCTAAAGAATGCTAATAAACTCTTTCCCGTAGATCATCAAAACAACAAAAATTAAGATAAAAAAATATATTTTCGAATAGAAGAATACAAATATTTCATATAATTTTGACTCTTA